GCAAGGGTGGGATTTAAACTTCGAACCCACTAGGGGGAGGGGGGGACTGCAACTTCAAGGTGGCCCGAAAGCCACTTGGCCCGAAGGGCCAGGTGCAATATATAATATTTGTTAATTAGGGAATTGCACGTTAATTTAATAAACTACAGTCCTAGTGTTTATCTAAGGAGAAATTAATATAGTCCAGCTGTCAACAACCTGTTAAAAATAATAACAGGTGGCTGGATGAGAAGTAGGCCAAGTGGGGAGCATTTAATACCCACTTGACTGGGACTTCTTGGACCATATCACTAAATTGGTTATTTTCATATATTTTGCCTATAGCTGGACCAAAAGAGAAGGAGAAGGACAGTGCAGATAGGTTAAGCAGATTGGGAGAATATTGAAGAATTCTACCAGTTCAAGATTTTTGAAGAAAGTGTGTAGGTAAGTGTGATTTTTAATTTTAAGTTAAGATTGCCAAACAATAAATAAAGCAATAGAATAAGCATAGGAAATTAGGTTGCTGCAGTTTAAATTAGATAACATGATAGAGAAATAAATACAGTAGTGAGCTGAATTAGAAATCCCCTATGCTGAAACTGTGAAATCTTTACAGTTTAATTCGTGAGATTTATATGTTATGAGTATCACCTTTTCTGGACTATGTCCTATGTATCTAACCTAAACACTCCATTATAGCCTATTTCTATTAGTTCTATAGACCATATTAAGTAAACATTGAACACTGTTATGCATGATTATGTGCTATATATGGTGCTGTTATGCAATTGTCTTAGAACTATGGAGAGTTTGGACCCTAGCCTAGGCTTGGGGGTTAGAACAGTGAACTAGTGAACCTCTGCGTGGTAGGTAAGTGCTAGCTCTCGCACCTAATGTGAGTGCATGCACATTCAGTGGACTTCATAGTTTGTGTTATCACTATTATGATGTGCTGTGTTTGTGTGATCATGTATGATTGCAATCCCTCAAATTTTCACAATGTTCATACAGCTAAAAACTAAAGGAATTTTTCTGCACAAGATACTAAAGATTAAATTAGCAGATTAACTTGAGATTAAGAATTATACTTATTGGGCTTTGAGTTCATGGTGTTATTCCCACCATTTCAGATAGCAGCAGTGAAGAGTAGCTGTTATTTCCTAAGAACTTTTGTGGGTGGAGGCCCTATGCTAACTGTAAGCTATGCTGCAAATTTATATCTGCCCAAAACTTTCATTTGGCTCTATAATTTTAAACCTATCTGTACTGTATTGAGCCTGGGAATAGTATCTAAACTGAATATTCTGATATTATAGATTTCTTCCATATTTTTCTTTACTTAGCTGTGCAGTACATCTCCCTACTTGATGGACCTATAGTTTCTCTAAAGGGGATATTACACACTCAGAAGCAGCTGTGAGTAACATAGGCTTCTACAAATGTCTTGCTTGACAAGCTTCTTTTCTTTGCCTGCATGTCCAGATGTAAGTACCAAGAAAGACAGAGAGTAGAAATCAGCACTTGCCTTTATCATGTCATCAATTGAATGGGTTTCCTTGACAATCTTATGGCGGTTCATGATAGGAACTGCTTCCACACAAAAGACAGGTAGCTCATCATCTCCATTCCAAGTTGAGATAATACCGCATGTTTGTAGGTGTTCAATTTTAGACCAAGAACTCTTTGTCAAGCCACAAAAGTGATGAGTGGATGCTGATTTTATTCCATCATTATCGGGTGTTGAATGCTCCTCAGTTTCTTGGTTTGACTGTAAGGTGCCCTTTAAACTACCATTTCCATATTCTGTGTCTTCCTCTTTGATTTCTGATCCAGAGTCCCTTGGGAGCTCTACGATTAATACCTCCAGACAGTTCTCCTCTAAATTGTAAGCCAAGAATTAATCAAAGTCAGTGCCCCACATCATCTGCATTTGGATGATTTTGTCAA